TTGAGAGGATAAGGAAAGCCTGGTGATAGTTAACTTCTAATCAGGTGTGGAATCAATAGAAGTAATATTTTTTTCAGCTAATGCTGAAAAAGGCAACACACTTTTTTTTTAAAAAAAGTAGATTATAGTCATGTGTGAAGTGGCTGCCACCAACACAGATGCACTTCAAGAGCATTAATTAAAAAATAATACCCAGAATTACAGATGTTGTCACACTTTTTACCTTCTGATGATGTCACATCTGAATAACAGTTCATTCAGGGCGCCGGAGAGATTGACAAACTGGAGCAGTGGAACAGCCTAATAGATGACAGAAAGACTGGTGAACTGAGCGTGATGAACTTGGAGAACAGGGGAAGACTTTGGGGCAGGGTGTCTTAAGAATTTGAAAGGCTGTCCTGTGGCTAAGGAATTAAGACTTCTGATAGCTGAACTAGGAGCTATGGGTGGGTTATAGAACACTTTAGAGAGTAAACTTGAGAACAGAGCTGTCCACTGTGGACTGAGTGGCCTGGTGAGATTTTGCACTTCCTCTCACTAGAGGTGACCAGGCAGATGGTCTCTAGAGCGGGGTTATTTGTAGAAGGGATTCACACATTGTTGATAGAGAACTGGCAAAGCACATTCCTATCACCAAATATATCTGTACAGGATGCTGTGTTTAGATAAATATACTCATTTTGCCTGGTAAAGAAATAGTTATGAAAACTATTATACAAGGAATTAAAACTTGTATAAGAAATTTCATAATTGATGTGGTTAAAAAGTTGAAAATTAAAGGGGTTTTTTTCCCTCTAAAGTGGAGGCAATTTTGTATTTGAAGCTTTTAGTTTTTTTTTTTTTTTAAATACAAACTGTGAGAGTAGTAAAAGTCCAATGCAGTTAGTAGTTAAATATGCAAGAAAACAAATTGGGTACATTTCCTGCTTGCTTCTTTGTCTTCATTAACAGTATTCTTACATGATTATCCTAAGTTATAATTGATGTTCATTATTCAGATTTCGTTTTTAGTACAAGTATGCCATCATTTACAAAGTGGTTTCTCTTTTCTGTTCCTCTTGGCTTTCCAAATGGCCCCCTTTTTAACCTTAGTGCTGCGGTACATTTTCCAGTAAGATTAGGGAACAAGGAGACGAAACTTTTTCTTCCCTCCATCACGTGGCACAGTAATATCTCCTAATCCAGAAGAGCATTCTGCCCTTGGAGAGCAGAGAATTGCTTGTTCTCTGGTGTACTGGGTTGGGAGGAGAGGAGGAGGAGGAGGAGGAGACGATACTGCTGACAACCCACACCACCAGCCACCTTTTTTTTTTTTTTGGAAGAGTCTCTGACACCTGAAAGGTCTTTTGCCCAACCTTATAGGAGAGTGAAAGATAAGCAGCTTCTCTTCAGGGCTGTGTGTTTTAGAAGGTTGAACGGGGTGATTGCTTCCAGGCTGAACATGGGCTCTTGATAGAGTTACTCTTTGGAAAGTTGTTCAGCAAGGCTTAACAAGTTTCATTTTTAAAAATGCGAATATATAAATCTTTTTTACAACTGATTTAACTTAAATGTAGGACTTAGTGACACCCTTAGAACAAATCTGATATCTTTGTTCACCACTTTGGGTGTAGATCTCTGCATAGTTAAAGATAAGGGCTTATTGGTTATAAAAGGTAACAGAGTTTTACAATGACCAAAGTTTTATTCCATGGGTGATATTAAAAAAAAAAAAAAAAAAACCCGTTGCTGTTGAGTTGATTATGACTCATAGAGACCCTGTAGGACAGAGTAGAGTAGAACTGCCCCATTCTAAGGAGTAGATTCCAACTGCCAACCTTTTGGTTAGCATCCGAGCGCTTAACTGCTGTGCACTTAGGGCTCCTCAGTGAGTGATATAGATGGATGTTAAATATATTACTGAGGAGAAGGTGGGAATGAAAGAGAATGCATAAATACGAGAAAGATGTTTTCTTTCTTTCTATATAGTTTTGATCTTAATGGGTCCTGCTTGTTTCCAAAAAGACATCACAAGATCTGTGTTTTGTTTTTTTAACTTTGGTCATAGGTAGCAGTGATGTAACTGACTGACACTTTGACTCTGTTTGTGGTGATCTTCTTAAAATGCCTTGTCCCACTTAGGAAACTGCCAGCATAACTTAATATTCTTGAGTTAGATCAGTGGTTTTAAAAAACTTCAAAAATCTGACTCTTTAACCCCTGTGTGGGTTATAAGATCTTTATATAAATACTTACATTGGCATTAACTGGAGTACTTGGTTTTTGAGTTAAGTATTCAGGGCTAAACGTTGATGTCTGAATTTCTTACATATTAATTTTCATTGATGATGTTACCAAAATGGAGTTGATTATAATCACTTGAACATCATCCTGATTTTTATTAACACAGACGATAACAGCTGCCATTTTTATTCACTAGTAATGGCATCATTTTCAGCCTTTAATTTTTTTCCCCCCTTTCCAGGTAAAAGATATTCCCAGAGAGATTGTGTTATTTATAGCTTAAATGTAGAAATGTTAAAAAGACAATATTGAGGTAAAAACTATGTACTCATCCTTTAAGTTTACTGTGGATTTCCTATAACTTCATATTCTGATCAACTGTAGTTTCATTAAGGGGAGATTTTCAGTAAACTCTTCATTGGAATTGTGGTATAGCCATCAAATGTCATGCTTTGGTTGATTGACCACTAGGTCCAGATTCTGCATTTCAGACTGCCACCTTGGCATAAGTTTACGTCTGGGGCTTAGTTTAGACTAGTGATTATTTCAAGGAGACACGTTGAGCACGGCGCTTTTTCCTCTATTTTTTTATCTTTTTTTTTTTTTTAACTATTTGGATTTACCCAGGATTCCTTTGGAAGCAAGGATTTCACTGCCTTTTTTTTTTTTTTTTTAGAAAAGGTTTGAAAACCACTGGTTTAGATTAAGCAGCTTATGTTTAGATGCTCCAAGGAAGAAGTACCCATCCTTGGTTAGCTCTCAGTGTAGCATTAGAGATGCTTTTATTACGAAAAACGTAGACCTGCATTACTAGTATAACTGATGGATTAGTTGTTGCTCTGGATACAGATGTTCCCAGATATTAAGAAGGTAGCAGTTATACCTGCAGTCGATGGAAACTAGGACACACTGTTATGTTTGTTGCTGTGTTTTGTAGCACATTAAATTAGTACCATATAATCATTTATGAAATGATTGTAAGCTGTTATCAGGGGTTTGGGAAATATTAAATAATGCATATTTTTAAAAATCTGAAGATTTATATGTTGGAAAATGCCGTGCTAGATCGACACTTGCAGTAACTTAAACATGTAATCTGGACAGGTTTGATTTGGATCTTTTTTCTCCTGGCTTGATTAATTATCTGTGCCAGGTCAGATGTTTACGGTTGGATTTTTTTTTTTAAACTTTTCAGTGGCACAGTTCTATTGACCCTTGCCTAAGTAAATGACTTTCTGCTTGTCTCTTCTGCCTCTAATTATAGGGACTGTGTGCTGCCATCTTTGATCTGGTAGCTTTGCAGAGGTACTACCATAGACACCTCACATTGACTGTGTGTCGGGTTCTGCAAGCCTTGCCTTGAGCCTGCTGACCTAACACTGCCATCTGAAGGGCCTAGAGTTCCCTTCTCTCTTCTAACCCAGAAGAGCCGAGAACACTCTTCTGATTAGATCCAGGGCTTTGGGCAGAGCTATTAGCAAAGAATATTGAACATACTATCCACTGCCAGAAGAATGAACAAATCTGTTTTGGAAGAAGTACAGCCAGAGTGCTTCTTAGAAGTGAGGACGGCAAGACTTCATCTCGTGTACTTTGGACATGTTATCAGGAGGGACCAGTCCCTGGAGGAGGACATCATGCTTGGTAAAGTAGAGGGTCAGGGAAAAAGAGGAAGAACCTCAATGAGGTGGATTGACACAGTGGCTGCAATAATGGGCTCAAGCATAACAATGATCATGAGGATGGCACAGGAGGGTGGCTAGAGTCAGAACCTACTGAATGACACCTAACAACAACATTGTTTCATAAATGATTATAGTTAGTTTTCTCGGTTAATGATCTCTTTGATTAAGTAAAGTTCACAGTTATTACTTGTTGTATTATCATGCGCCCCCCTGCCCCTGTACAGATTCAGCCTACAGATAGGTTATTTCCTCACCAAGTTCCCTCTGTCTGTATTTAGCCTTTCGGTACTTGGAGTAAAGAAATGATTTTTTTTTTTGGTGAGGGGAGAAGGCATGTATTCAGTCTTTATGTGGTTTTAATTCACTTGTAGTCTTGGGCTACAGATGTTAGATTTTCATTTCAACCACCTGACGCTTTCTAAGAAGCACATGAATAGGAGTTTGGCCAAGATTAGCAAAACTTTATTTTAATGTTTAGGCCCTAATAAGCAGGTGTGACTGTAATTTGCAGAAATCGATGCAGGAAGGAGTGTAGTTAAGTCATTCAACAGTAAACTTAGATCATTCTCAGAAATGGATGGTTTTAGTTCATATGCTTACCAGAAAGCTAGTTGTCTTAAATTATGAATAAAACACTTGCAAATGTTAGCCCTAGTCTTAATAGGTCATTGAACTTTGCCCATATTATTTTAAAATTCAGAAAATGTTTGACTTTTTTGATACAGTGTTGTTTTTTCTTTGTTAATGAAACCAGGGGCCAAAGCATCTTTAAGAATAACTACATCTTCTGGTAAAGTATTCTTCCTACTAGATCTAATTCACAAGTGTAATTATAGCTATTTACTTCCTCCTCTATGTTCCCTCCGCCCAGTTGGGTCTACCAAGATACTTAAGTGACGTGAACCAAAGGGCTCAAGCAAAAATGGTAGTGTGTTTGCTTGTGTGTCTAAAAAGTCTAGGAGGTGTCTATCAGGCATAGCTGGATTAAGGATCTTAAGTGGTGTCACTAGGAGTCTTTCCATCCCTCTGCTTTCTCCCTGTGGTTGCAGCTCCCAACTCTCCTTTTCAGTATCAGTGTTAGCCCTGCTTGGGTCACATGTCCAACTCTGTACTAATTACAGTGTTACGAGGTAGAATACTCTTACTGGTCAACCTGAGTCATGTACACTCTGCTGTAATTGACAGCACACCAGTTGTGGCAGGGACAGTTCCAAGAGGAAGCTGGGCAGGCAAAAACAAGTCTATTTATTCTAGTGACGGCGGCTGTTCTGTGTCTAGGCCCTGTCCTCTAGAAGTGATGGACTGTTGAAGGGGAAGAATTTGTCTTATTCAACTCTCTGTTCCTGGCAAAGTGTAGGTGCTCAAAAGTGATTGATGAACAGATGAACAGTGGCACAGTTGATTTCCATTAAATTGGTTATTTTGTGTTTTTTATGCCATGAGCTGAAAGATTTAGGATCTAGCTGAAGGGAGCTCTCCTTGGTATTGACTTACCGATGCTGACCTGTTGGAAATGGTCATCCAGATAGCCAAGGAGGATGAAGAGAAAGGGATTAGCCATTGAGGGACAAATTGGGGAAGAAAGTAAGCCCATCCCTGTATGTTGGCCTCCTGTGCAGATTTCTGATTCAGTGGAGGAAGCCAGAAGTAATTCTTGTAAAAGTTTTTAAACAAGAATTAATATTAATGAACCTTAGAGCCAGCTGTTAATTTGACCTTAGGTTTCTTAACAGCAGATAATAGGCTGAGAAGACATGGACCCTTAAAAGTTCTTTTTCTTATCACCCATAATAATTCTAACGTAAACTGATAAAGTTTGCTTGAGACTGTGTCTCAAGGAATCTTTGGATTCTCACAGGCATAGAAAAGCTCAAGAAGTATACACAAGAAATGGGTAACAGTGGCCTCTCTGGAGAGGGAGCTGCGTGGCTAGAGGATAGGAGAGAGCAAGCCTGTTTTACTTACATTCTTGTACTGTACGCCTGTTTTACCTAAGAAAAGTGTTTAATTTAAAAAAAAAAAAGCCAGAATAATCTTTCAATGGTCTTGAGGATGCTAAGATATGTGACTGTGTTATTCTAGCTCCAAATGGACAAAATCTTGGAAATGGCCTCCATAAACAAATATGTGCAGGTCACCTCCATCAGTGGGAAAAGGGTCAGATTATGGAATTCCCAAGATCATTATAATCTTATCTCAGAGCACTCCATCTTTCAGTGTAAACTTTAATATAGGCTCTTCCTAGTTGCTAAGCATAGAACAAAGAATTTTTTGCAGCATTTTCCAATAAGTAGTATCCTGATTTTATAAGTCTGTTTAATTCAGCCTAAATAAGTAAACTCAAAAGACTGACTATAACTGAAATACCACTTTTTGCAGATTTTAAATTTCTTGCAGCTAAGCTCCCTTATGGAGCATACTCACTTTTTCACAACTGCGGTGGATCAGTTGAGTTCCAGCCATGCAGTGAGGTGCTTCATCTGTAGGTCTTTAAAAGTCTTTGTTACCTGTGGGTACGCACTTAGAATTCCTGGTGTTTTTCGTAGGAGAATGGGTTTTCCTTTATCCTGAGTTCCAGCTTATGACTTCCCATCAATATTTTCTATAGATGAGTGGACTCAGTGGTGACTACATTTCTAAATCTTTGTGTCTTATTTTGATGAGATGTTAAACTCTTTATCCAGGAGGCAGGGAAAACTAAGAATGGCTGCCTTCTGGGCATATCTCTGCTTCAGAAGTGAAGTGGGATTAACTTGGGACAGTTACAAAAGAGCTGCCGAATTTTGGCTGGCCCACAGAGAGTTTATGAAATGAGTAGAGAAACAAGATGTTGCTTTGCAGACTTGGGTGTCTGTGTGGGCATCCATTTTGATGCCTGATCTCTTCAGAATTAGCCTGTAACATATTTTTGTTTTCCTGAAACATCTTCTGTCAGATAATCTCTCTAAAAGACCTGGTTTGTGGGAACCGTTTTATTAAACCGTTGATTTAAAATAAAACTTTAAAAAAAACCCAAAAACTATAGTTAAAAATCATCAAAAAGATGTTTTAAAACAATTTAGCAATAAAATTTCCACAAAGAATAATGGATTTGGCCTTGAGTGCACATTAATTATATCAGAAGCAACCTCTAAGTCTTACCGGTATGCAAATTATCAGCATGGCAGAGAGAGTAGAAGATCCCAGCTAGTGGGATTTCCGTCTTGAGTCTGATAACTGTTTTTCAATGAAATACATTTCTCTTTTGGTCCGCATTAAACTTTGGTACTTACAGGATAGTTTGAGACTTCTAAGGTCTAGTAATACATGCGGATTCAGAATTTCCGGGATGTATTGTTTGTTTTGGTAGGTTTCACTCTTACTTCCCCCTCTACTTTTCCTTTTCTGTAGTTAACATTGATTTTTTTTTTTTTTTTGATTGGAATAATAAAAGAGGTAATGAGATTTTATTATGTTTGGGCAGTTAGATAACTTGACCTTATGATAGTGGTTTACAAATTGTAGTGGAGTTAGTGGAACAGCCATTATTGGTTAGAAAGCCAGGTTTGCATGCATTAAATTTTAATACCTGGTGCTTTGGCTTTTGTTTTTGGTTTTTAAACCTACTTTATGTCCTGCAAAAATAATGTTGAATTTGGATTTAAACTGCATGATAATTTCTTAACATATTTAAAGGAAGCATTTATGGATCAGTTGGCAGCAGTACAAATTCTCAGCTGCCCAAGTTTTACTAATTTTATTTTCTTATTAAACACAAACTTGTTTGTAAAGAACTTGGGAAAGTGGATCTAAATTTGAATTCCCTTACACGTGTAGGCTTTTCATTTTTCAAAAGAATCCCTCACTTACCTTTTTATTTTAATGAAGTCTCTAACAGTTGTTACCATTTGCTCTGATGCCAGTTGCCCAGTTTTCTCCTGCTCGGCATTCATTCCATGACCAGATGTGAGTGCCTGTGTTCGGGGGGGTGTCAACTGGGGATACGTTACATACCCGTTAGTGTTTTTAGTTTGGGGAGTATATAGAAACTTTGAGGATGTTTCTTTAAGAACACCATAGCAATGTGCAAGACAGTTCCCAGATAATGAAAACGTCTTTTCCCTGGCACCCACAATTGTGTGGTAATGATACCGATACGGCAAACATTTTTCTATTTTCAGAAGTTGAACATCACAAGGAGAAGAGCACTCACACTTGATTTAAAAATAATTGGTCGGTATTGTTTCCCTGATTCTCAACTTTGAGTTAATCGCGGAACTGATTTTTTAAAAGTCTAGTCCATCAGAATTGTGCCAGATTAGTTAGCCTCAGTCAGTTGTAGTGCATACTGTTAAAATAGCGCACATACTTAGACATTCTTATCTACCTACCCTTTTTTGTCGGACTGGGTGAGGGTTTGTGATTGATCCTGCCATTAGTGGAATTAGTAAATATTACAAGTTGTACATGTTTTGACTTGACTTAAATTTTTTTTCCCAATAGAAACTATGTTCCAACTTCCTGTCAACAATCTTGGCAGTTTAAGAAAAGCCCGGAAAACTGTGAAAAAAATACTTAGTGACATTGGGTTGGAATACTGTAAAGAACATATAGAAGTAAGTAGCATGTCATTTTTTTATTTTAATATGACTCAGTCTCAGATCCATTCCTTTGCATCAGTAGCCAGGATGGTAATTCTTAGGTGTGATTCTGAATTTTAACCACAGCATTAGCTTCACCAGAACTTTCTCAGTAAGCCTAACTTGTTACCTTCTCCCTAAAATGGACTTTTTTCATCTTTGCATCCTGAAACAAAGGCAGCTACCATTGAGTTAGTTACGTATGTCAGACATGGTACTAGGTGCTTTAAAGTTGTCTCTAAATTTAATCCTTAAAACAGCCCCTAAGGGATATAGGAATTTTTATTTCCCATTTACGAATGAAGAAATTGGTGAAAAACTAGGTCCAGCCTCACACAGCTAAGGAAGTGACAAGGTCTGTCAGGCTCCAGAGCCTGAGTGCCTGTGGTTGATCTGATGTTGAGGCATGCGTGGTGGTTTGGGTGCTTATTGTCTCTTTCCTTGGGAATTGCGCATTTGTTGGCCCTTTTGACCCACTGTAGACCGTTATCTTCCCTTTGTATAACAGTTTAGACTTTACAGACTGTTTTTTTCTAGCCTTTTCATTCTCTGAGCCTTTTAACAGCCCTGTGGGATAGCCAGTGCAACGGCTTCTTCCTTTTCCAGGTCTCATTCATTGCTCCAGATCTAATGGTTAACTGGTCACAGAAAGCTGTGGATTGAAAAGAAATTTATAAATTTCTAGCCTCTAAGTTCCAGCTGGCCAGGGACCATAGCTACCTTGTTCATCCATGTATTCATTCCCCTAGCACCTAGTACGGCGCTTGGCACATAGTGGGTGCTCAGTCAGTGGATGGAATTGAAAGTAAAAAAGCAAATTCCTTCGTGCAATAGATTCTCTTTCCCTGAGTCCCACTGATGTACTCCAGGGGTTATGTCATGAAGACTGCAGCTTCTCCAAAGTGGGCGTCTCTGATTATGTTGTTCTCAGTGTAGAAGCAGCCCCTCTCATACCCCGCACTTTCAGGTAGATCTGCCCAGATGAAGCATTCCATTCACGCCTGCCCAGATGAAGCATTCCATTCACGCCACACTCGGTGGAGTAATCTTCACAGGAATGTTGAGGGACCTTTTCTATTCTGCATTTGATTGGTTCTTATATTATTATACCCATTACAATCTCTGGAAATTTACATGTACGTGATTTTCCCGCAGTGACCTATGAACACTTCATGAGCAAGGGGAATTTTACCCCAACACTTTCTGTCTTCCTTCTCTTTGGGGAAACTGGCCATTAGATTTTTATGTAAGCATGTAAATTTAACATCATACTGTTTACTTTCTTTGAATAGATTCCTTTGCCTCTTTTTTTGGGTTCAGAAATCCTGAGTTTTCTTCCTGGTTACCAATCCAATCTCCCATCCCCACCCCACTAGAGAATATCACGTCCATAGTGCCGTAAGTGAACACTGTTGTCTTACGCTCTGTTTCAGTACTATAACTGACGAGTTACAGTATTCTAATGAAAAAAAGTGCTTTGGTATTAATGTATGGCTGACTTTTACTTACTTAGAACTCCCAGTGGTTTCCTTGGAAACCTGGCTGACCATCAGGGGAATGTTTGGTTGAAATAAAACAGTTGATGCAATTTCCATACGGCTTTTTGTATTTCCTAAGAGCCTTAACCCTCCTAGTTTGGTTCTTGATAGGGTTGGTCTTCCTGTGTCTCCCCTCAACCCTCATCAGTTGGTAGGATTTATATGTAAGGTTGGGCTAGAGTGATACCACTGTGTTCTTGTAAACTTCTTTCACTCTTTTCTAGGATTTTAAACAGTTTGAACCTAATGACTTTTATTTGAAAAACACTACATGGGAGGATGTAGGACTATGGGACCCTTCACTTACAAAAAACCAGGTAAGTGGCACAGGGGACTTCCCCAATGGCAGCATTCTCGGAAATACCCAGTTTTCAGTTCTAAGCCTTTCTTAATAATACAGAGTTTGTAGCCAACAGTCTAAATGTTTAAGTGGGAAATGTCAAACTTGCATATTACATATTTTCCTAAGTGGTAGGGAAAACTAGGAAGAACTTGTTTTCTTTTCTGTCATTGGACTGAAACTTCAAGCATAAGAAAAAAAGGAAATTTTGTTAATTAAAAAGATCTGAAGTCTGTTGTACACCAGCATCTCCCTTCCCCAAATACTTTGGCACTCCCTGTTTCCAAAATTTTCTCTCCAGCTTTCCTTAATTTTTATGTTCTGTCTTTTTCTAGAGAGTGGTGGGCTGGACTCTTCCTTCCATTTAAACTCTTCTTCTCTGTTGATGGCACCCCTCTATGAGGGGCCTGAGCCAGCACATTGGGAGGAGGGGTAAATGACTCTGTAGGATGGCAGTGTCAGAGACGTGTGACATTTAACTTTTTACAAATTGGCATTTAAAACAATAGTCGGAGGTGCCAACAGGTACCAATAGATGAAGATGTGACAGAGCTAGAGGGAGTTATATAGGTGGTGTTTCTATTTCCATTGGGAAAAGTGATGGTCAATTCAAATGTTACTGTTACCTATTTCAGTAGTGATTGTAATTCTGTATTATTAATCTGTTTCATCTGTGGGAGCATACTTGGTAGAGAATTAGTACTTTTAAGCTCTGCCTCAGAAATTTGATAGTATAGTTATCTGGTTCCTTTTTTATTGATACCCCAGGAAAAGGTATTAACCAGCAGTCTTAAAACGTGAAAGCTTTCCAGTGAGACAGGGACACATCATTTTAGTTGATTCAATTTTAAGAATCCCAGAACAGGAAAGAAGAGCTTTAAGGAAAAGCAGAGTATTTCATTTTGGTTCAAACTAGTATCTGGAAGCCAAGTGGGTTTCTAGGGGGAAACATTATCTTTCTCCAAGCATGTGTTTCACTTGTATTCATCAAAGGACCAACGGCACAAACGTTAGCGATCATAGTTCTAAAAGTTGCTCTTTGATATCAGTATATTCTGTAATGCATTAGGCTCTTTAACACCATGCACTCCTTGCAGTCTGTAGGAAAGTTTTATTTAACGTCTTAATTTGAATCAAAGCAGCTGTCACTTCATTAGTTCTTTTGAAGCTGCTCTTGCTTGAGAAGGAACAGCAAGGCTCGTAGAAGAAAGCTGACTTTTCAGGCCAGTGTTTTTTTTTTTTTTTTTTTTTTTTGATCAGCAGTGAAATCTGACTACTACTACATGGTACTTCAGAGAAACAGTGTGAGATTTTTGAAGATGTGGGGTTTTTTTCTATGGTGGAAAGGATAAAAAGTGTACCTTTATATAATTGTCTAATTGCAATAAAACGCTCTAGCCCCTGAATTCTGTATAGTAAATCTGAAGCCTTTATCAGCTTCCTGATTACTGAGTGAAAATGATTTCACATACTTTATTCTTAACATTTCTAACTGTAGAATGTTTGTCTTGAGGCCATTTGTCTTTGGTTTGTCTGAAACCGATCAACAAATGTGACTCTGATCTTTTCTAAACATTGAGGAAGAATTTGGCCTTAGTTTTTTATTTACACTGTGGAACCCAAATGAAAAGTACCAAATACAAAACAGCTTTTTCGGTCTCAATTTCATAAATTAATACTACTGCAAAAGGAAAATACACTGATACCAGTGCATTACAGAGTTTAGTTCTAAAAACAGCATCCTAGGGGTGTCTGGAAAAAAAAATCTAGAACCTGTAATTGCCTGTCTGAAGTGGCATTCTGATTGCAGTTTTTGTGTTTTCTTTAGGACTATCGGACAAAACCTTTTTGCTGCAGCGCTTGTCCATTTTCCTCAAAATTCTTCTCTGCCTACAAAAGTCATTTCCGGAATGTCCATAGTGAAGACTTTGAAAATAGGATTCTTCTTAATTGCCCCTACTGTACCTTCAACGCAGACAAAAAGACTTTGGAAACACACATTAAAATATTTCATGCTCCAAATGCCAGCGCACCAAGTAGCAGCCTCAGCACTTTCAAAGATAAAAACAAAAATGATGGCCTTAAACCTAAGCAGGCTGACAGTGTAGAGCAAGCTGTTTATTACTGTAAGAAGTGCACTTACCGAGATCCTCTTTATGAAATAGTTAGGAAGCACATTTACAGGGAACATTTTCAGCATGTGGCAGCACCTTACATAGCAAAGGCAGGTGAAAAATCACTCAACGGTGCAGTCCCCTTAGGCTCAAATACCCGGGAAGAGTGCAGTATACACTGCAAGCGATGCCTTTTCATGCCGAAGTCCTACGAAGCTTTGGTACAACATGTCATCGAAGACCATGAACGCATAGGCTATCAGGTCACTGCCATGATTGGGCACACGAATGTGGTGGTTCCCCGATCCAAACCCTTGATGCTAATTGCTCCCAAACCTCAAGAGAAGAAGGGCATGGGACTCCCACCAAGAATTGGTTCCCTTGCTTCTGGAAATGTCCGATCTTTACCGTCACAGCAGATGGTGAATCGACTCTCAATACCAAAGCCTAACTTAAATTCTACAGGAGTCAACATGATGTCCAATGTTCACCTACAGCAGAACAACTATGGAGTCAAATCTGTAGGCCAGGGCTATGGCGTTGGCCAGTCAATGAGACTGGGTCTAGGTGGCAATGCACCAGTTTCCATTCCTCAGCAGTCTCAGTCTGTGAAGCAGTTACTTCCCAGTGGAAATGGAAGGTCTTATGGGCTTGGGTCAGAGCAGAGGTCCCAGGCACCAGCAAGATACTCCCTTCAGTCTGCTAATGCCTCTTCTCTCTCATCAGGCCAGTTAAAGTCTCCTTCCCTCTCCCAGTCACAGGCATCCAGAGTGTTAGGTCAGTCCAGTTCCAAACCTACTGCAGCTGCCACAGGCCCTCCGCCAGCCAATACTTCCTCAACCCAAAAATGGAAAATATGTACAATCTGCAATGAGCTTTTTCCTGAAAATGTCTATAGTGTGCACTTCGAAAAAGAACATAAAGCTGAGAAGGTCCCAGCAGTAGCCAACTACATTATGAAAATACATAATTTTACTAGCAAATGCCTCTACTGTAATCGCTACTTGCCCACAGATACCCTGCTCAACCATATGTTAATTCACGGGCTGTCTTGTCCGTATTGCCGTTCAACTTTCAACGACGTGGAGAAGATGGCAGCGCACATGCGAATGGTCCATATTGATGAAGAGATGGGACCTAAGACAGATTCTACTTTGAGTTTTGATTTGACATTGCAGCAGGGTAGTCACACTAACATCCATCTCCTTGTAACTACATACAACCTGAGAGATGCCCCAGCTGAATCTGTTGCTTACCATGCCCAAAATACTCCTCCAGTCCCTCCAAAGCCACAGCCAAAAGTCCAGGAAAAGGCAGATACTCCTGTCAAAAGTTCACCTCAAGCTGCAGTGCCCTATAAAAAAGATGTTGGGAAAACCCTTTGCCCGCTCTGCTTTTCAATCCTAAAAGGACCCATATCTGATGCACTTGCACATCATTTACGAGAGAGACACCAAGTTATTCAGACGGTTCATCCGGTTGAGAAGAAGCTCACCTACAAATGCATCCATTGCCTTGGTGTGTACACAAGCAACATGACCGCCTCGACTATCACACTGCATCTAGTTCACTGCAGGGGTGTTGGAAAAACCCAAAATGGCCAGGATAAGACCAATGCACCCTCTCGGCTTAATCAGTCTCCAGGCCTGGCGCCTGTGAAGCGCACTTACGAGCAAATGGAGTTTCCTCTGCTGAAAAAGCGAAAGCTAGATGAGGATGTCGATTCACCTGCCTTTGAAGAGAAGCCTGAAGAGCCCGTTGTTTTAGCTTTAGACCCAAAGGGTCATGAAGATGATTCCTATGAGGCCAGGAAAAGCTTTCTAACAAAGTATTTCAACAAACAGCCCTATCCCACTAGGAGAGAAATTGAGAAGTTGGCGGCCAGTTTATGGTTGTGGAAGAGTGACATTGCTTCCCATTTTAGCAACAAAAGGAAGAAGTGTGTCCGAGATTGTGAAAAGTACAAGCCTGGTGTGTTGCTGGGCTTTAACATGAAAGAATTAAATAAAGTCAAGCATGAGATGGATTTTGATGCCGAGTGGCTGTTTGAAAATCATGATGAGAAAGATTCCAGAGTCAATGCTAGTAAAACTGCTGACAAAAAGCTCAACCTTGGGAAGGAAGATGATAGTTCTTCAGACAGTTTTGAAAATTTAGAAGAAGAATCCAATGGAAGTGGTAGCCCTTTTGACCCCGTTTTTGAAGTTGAGCCTAAACTCCCTAATGATAACCCAGAGGAACACATACCGAAGGTAATTCCTGAGGAGGATTTAGAAGCTGAGGAGAAGCTAGACCAAAAAGAGGAGAATAGTTCAAAATACGAAACTATTCATTTGACTGAGGAACCAACTAAACTAATGCATGATGCTTCTGATAGTGAGGTTGATCAGGATGATGTTGTTGAGTGGAAAGACGGGGCTTCTCCATTTGAGAGCGGGCCTGGATCCCAACAAGTGTCGGACTTTGAGGACAACACATGCGAAATGAAACCAGGCACCTGGTCTGATGAGTCTTCCCAGAGTGAAGACGCGAGGAGCAGTAAGCCAGCTGCCCAAAAAAAGGCTACCATGCAAGGTGACGGAGAGCAGTTAAAATGGAAGAATAGTTCCTATGGAAAAGTTGAGGGGTTTTGGTCCAAGGACCAGTCACAGTGGAAAAATGCATCTGAAAATGATGAGCGCTTATCCAACCCACAGATTGAGTGGCAGAATAGCACAATTGACAGTGAGGATGGGGAGCAGTTTGACAACATGACGGATGGGGTAGCTGAGCCGATGCATGGCAGCTTAACCGGAGTCAAACTGAGCAGCCAGCAGGCCTAGGTGCCAGGTGCCCCAGCATCAGAGACATGCTGCCAGCTGGGGTTCTGTTCTCCCTTCCGTCTGACTGCAGAGCTTATATTCTAACTGGTACTGCCTTTTGAGTGCTGGGTCATAAGGCTTGTGTGGACATGTGGCCGCTGCAATCGCGGTGGTTATTTCTGAATATGTGACACATTGTTGGCTGATCTTGCTTCAGACCTGCTGTGACAAACACAGTGACTAAATGTGAAAAACCAATAAGCTGGTGGCTCACGAACGCACATGAAGAAAAGCAGAGGTTTATTTTATCTGCCTTTTCAACATTTCTTTTCCTCTGTAAATGTATGGTTGGATGTCTTTGAGAAGCCCCCGATTCACATGGTAGTGTAGGGCCAACATACAAGCTACCAGTTCAACGTGTATAGTAGACTTTGGGAAAAATCGATTTTTTTCTTCATGTATTCATTCTGAATAGTTGAGATGTATATTTGTACAGTCTTTTAGACCTCTTCAAGTGATGCTTATGATATTGTTATTGTGTACCCATCATAGATTTGTTTCTTTTTTTAGTGTTGCCCTTGCTGTGTAATAAACGCTATATCTAGTTTATCTAGCAGAAGCTTGAAACTACGCTAGTATGGACTTTTGGACAGACTTAGTTTTTGCACATAACCTTGTACAATCTTGCAGCAGAGGCCAGCCACATAAAGTATATATCTGGACTCTCTTGTATTATAGAATTTTTCTTGTTCTGAATATCCTTGACATTACAGCTGACAAAAAAAAAAACAAAAACCACCGGTATTTCAGATCTGTTTTCTGAAATCTTTTAAGCTAAAATCACATGCAAGAATTGACGACTTTGCAGTCACTAATTTTGACACCTTTTAGATCTGTATAAAACTGTGTTGTGTTAAAGCAGCAAACAAATGAGTGCTGCATTTTGGATATTTAGTTTTATCTTTAGTTAAACACCACCTTGGTGTATTCATTTATACCATCTAATATATGACACACTGTTGTAGTATGTATAATTTTGTGATCTTTATTTCCCTTTGTATTCATTTTAAGCATCTAAATAAATTGCTGTATTGTGCTTAATGTAAATATTTGCTTTATTACACATGACAGTCCTGTGTCCATTATATTTTGTGCCATTTGATACCCTGGCTCTCTTTCATCAGAGATGGAAGCCACAGTCACCAAGCAAACTTGTGGAAAACCAAGATCTGCTATTTGCAGAAAAGAATGCTTTCTCTCAAGGCACCTGTTACAAATTCTTTTGGTCTTTTTTCCTCCCCCTTCCTCCTTTTTACCTGCTAAAGTAAACATCCTTGAGTTTTTCAGTTCCCCTTTTGTTAAGGAGAAGAGCCTGCTTATATATGTAAATGTCTTAATGATAAAAGGATGTAAACATAAATTGGCATTGATTTGCAAACAGAATCTTAATGCCCTGGTGTTCTTTCTTCTAAATGAAATAAATGTTAGTTTTCACCTTGTAATGGGAACAATTGTACTAAACAGGCAACCACACTCTGCCTTTGTTATAACTGTCTTGACCATCTTGCTATTAAGAAAAATAGGCTTTGGAGATCACACGTTTGGAGGGCTGTCAAGATGGAAGGAGGTGGTGTATTTATTTTGCATAGATTCCCCAAGAGTGACTTGTACTAAAGAGCGGAAAGTTACAAGGAGGCAGAATTAGGCCAGCATTTTCCACAATTACAATGATGGGATGCTCCAACCCATGCAGAGGCTGGGCAGTCAGTCACCTCTCAGGGATGCTGGCCTAAAAAATTCTGCAATGGTTGATTTCCATAACTTCTAAGACCCTTTCCAAAAAAACTTAGAATGCTTTTGTTACTGAAAGTAAGAGAACTGACCATCCTCCCCTATAACGTTAATGCTTCTCAAAAAGAATACAGGAGAAAATGCTGGAACTAGAAACTTTTAGAGTATTTGGGGATGGCATGGAGCTATCTGTTAAACACAGGTTATAAATTCTATGGAGACCAGTGACTATTTGGGACAGGATGTCCCCAAATTAAGACACTACAGATTACCAAATATGGAAAAAACTATGGCATTGAGAGGTCTGTTTCTCTTTGGGACAGGAATACCAGCTGAATTTAAACCATCTCACATTTGTTTGGAAATTATTCTGCCTTTAATTAACAGGTGGGAAGAGCTTTGCCTGGGCTTATGAGTCCTACATGGAGGACTAATGAGATGTGTGCAAAGTAGCAGGGGTGAAATACATTCCTGTTTGGACATCTGAGCAGAGACAGATGAGTATGCTTCCTCACCACCTTGCTAAGTGGTGGGAGTGGGCCTTTCTGGCATTCAGAAAAGGGTTTAGCCACCTAAGAGTTGGAAATAAAGATTCCCAACTGGAAATGTTGCAAAAGCCCTAAAAGTGTCTCAATAAAAGCCATTTTAAAAGAATGTTGTTGCTACTGTTTGCTTTTGGAAAAATCTGAAAATCACTTAAAAGCTGTGGCAATCTGCCATGTTCTGATTAGAGAATGTAACTGTAGGCTGACCAGTTCTCCTGTAGATCTCTGTTCTGACAAAGCAAAGCATAAGTCCTTATTCCAGAGAACTTGTCTTTTTGCCTTTCAGTTCTCTTGCGGCAATGAGTTCCAGAGTCGGACTGGCTAGGACTTTGGTTTTTCTCCCTTTCCAGCACATAGGAGCATTTTCATGCCCCATGTTTGGTTCTTGTCATTGAGGGATACAAGCAGACATCTCTTTTTCAAGTCGTTGTTTGTCCCCTCTTAAGATCCAAGCACAAAGATCGGCCCCTTTTGTTGTCCTCTAGTTGTGTGTCTATTTGGTCCAAATGCCTGCCCATTTAGAGAGATGCACACCGTTTCGGAAATGAGTGACGAGTGCCAGGTTTGAAAGCTCCTTTGGATCTACTGAAGACTGATGAATTCCTTGTCTGAAACACTTCAGTAGAAGGAATTAAACCTGCTTCTTGTCAAGTGAGTACTGCCATACACAGGAGCAGTTCCTCCTCAGACAACCACCAGCACTGAACTTGTGATGGGACCCAGAAATCATCTCTAGATGATTCTGTGCCACTGAAGCTTGCGAACCACTTAGCTAGAGTGACAGAAAATCTACTTAAGTAGAATATATTTTACGGAGTTATCAGGCCAGCCTTCTGGCCCGCCCTTATCTACGCATTGTGACCCTTATTTCTACCTGCCCTGCTCATTGGGTTGGTAGCAGTTGCAGGCATGTTTCACCACAGTGTCACCTTTGTGCAGGAACAGCTCAACTGATAAACTCCCAGAAGACTGGAAATAAGATGAAGATGCTGCGCCTATCATTCTGAAAAATAACAGCAGAGACAAACTCTTGACAGTGAGTCAAGTTTTAAAATGAAGTATCTCTACCAGCAACTAGTAGGTTGGGCTGAAAATGGATCCAAACTTGCATCAAAGGAGGGTCACCATTTGGTAATTCTTTTGGATCTTGCTACTTTCCAACACTTTAAATATTACTACTTGAACATTTACTATGATGTGAATATAGTGAAGTTGCAACTTAGGTGAGGGTTATGTTCGAAAGTCAGCATATAAGATGAAAGTTGCATATGGTCAAAATTAACTCCCAGAGAATCTGCAACTCATTTCAAAGTGCTCCAACTAAGGACATGGGAAAGAAGGTCCATAGTCCCCTTGAGGGCAGACACCTGGAATAAAGGGCAGAGTCTTCTACACTGTTGAGTTTTGTCTTTTGTGTTGTGTTTTTCTGAGTACAATGTTCATGCATCTGTGATGCAAACCCTTCCCCTACCACAGTACATCATCTGCCCTATTAGAAAGGTGTAAGTCCATTTACACCTAAAGAAATATTTCTTGCTTTAAAAACTTTGCTACCTTTATTAATGTCTTAGTAGTAAGTGACACAACACGGATAGCCTAAAAAGCAAATTGGACACCTTTTGAAAACACAGCAAGTGGCGAGCTTCCTGCTAGAAATAAAAGGGCTTTTCCAATGTACTTGATGTACGCATTGCAGTGGCTGCCATCTAGACTGGAGCAGAATGTGACAGCTGTGTACAGGAAGCAGCCATCTGGGAGTCTGGGAATTAAAAGTAAAAGCCTGCCTTGGAGAGTGCTAAGGAAGAGAAGGAGGAGACGGCTACATGACTTGCATGTTGCCTCTCAGTCTGCCAGCCAAGCTGTACCAGCATCCCCGGGAAGAGGAACGGTGGGAGCCTCAGAACCCTCTCGAGGGGGCTTCTCCCAGGCAAGGGGCTTGACCACCTTTCCTATGAACGCTAAATTTTTCCTAAAAACCCCCACAGCTCAAGGCACCTCATGAATACATATATACTCAACAGGCATTTTCAGAACATCACTGAAACGTAGTTCCTGGAACTCACTGTAGGACACTAAATTCCAAAACAGTCCTGCCCTACCCCACCCCCCAAAAAAATTCCTGCAAGGGAGTATTAGCTCCGGGTTTCAGGTGTGGACATGAAGGCTCAGAGAAGCTAAGCAACTTGTCCGAGATCCCAGCAGAAAAAGGGGAGATGCTCACTTGAACCCAGATACCGGATTCCATAGCCACTGGTATTCCCAGCTACACCAAGCAGCCTCGATCTTGGCTGAAGACTAACCTCGTAAGAAAGGCTTCCCCTGCTGTGAATGCTAACAGCCCTGATCTCTAAACCAACACATTGTTCTTTCACTGGCCCACACTCGATCGCACTGCCATCATCATGATCTTTTGCCACATCTGCCTAACAACTGCATTATTAGTATGTTTCAACTTCCCTTTTCATAAAAGGAAGACTATCACTGAAAAGAGGAAAACTAGCACAATTTGCCATTAATGGAAAACTCGTTGCCATCGAGTTGATTCTGACTCCTATGAGATTAATGGAAGGTAACCATAAAAATTAATACAAGAAAAATGAAATATTATTACTAAATTCTTGCTACCTATCACTGCCTGCTGAGGGCTATGAGCCTGACACCTGCTCTGCTTGTTCAAAAGGGATTAGAGTGGTGTCCAGGGCATGTTGTTAGGTGCTGCAGAGTCAATTTTCAACTCATGGCAACCCCGTGAGACTGAACAGAACTGTCCCATAGGGTTTTCTAGGCTGTAATCTTTACAGGAGCAAATCACCAGGTCTTTTCTCCCGCGGAGCTGCTAGGTGGGTTTGAACCACCAACGTTTCAGTTAGCAGCTGAGCGCTTAACCACTGCACCACCAGGGCTCCATCCAGGGCATACTGGCACCAAAATGTGCCTTTCTCCTAGACCCAGCAACACTGAAAGAGCTGGATGAGCCTCCTCTCAGTGTGACTCTCCTAATTAATGCACGTCGGTGGCCCTGGGATGGGAGTCCAGAGACGGGGCCCCGGATCAGAGTGGTTCTCAAGAAGTCTTTGCCTATCACTGGTCAGCCAACTTCCTTTACCAGGCATTGGACCTATTTATCTTAATTAGGCTCTTTCACTTGCAAGTAACAAGAAACCCAACTCAAATGACTCAATAAAGGGGAGTAGGGTAACCGTCTGGGCCTGAGTAGGGCAGGCTGCTCCACAACATCACAAGGGCTCAGGCTCTCTGTCTCTGCCCACCTGCCACCCAGAGGACTGCCTTCATCCTAGGCAGACACCTGGTGTTTGTAAGATACTTCCAGTTCACATACTCAGAGCTTCTCTCCCTCTCTATTGAGCAAGAAACCTGAGCTCTAAGCCAGCTGGACCACTGCTGAACCAGTGCCTAGGGCTGAAAGGCTTCGGCCAGAGCTACCGGGTCAGGATTCCTCTGACTGACGTAGGTCAGAACCCATCTCTGGAGCTGGAATCAATTCAATCCAAACCAGAGAAGGGCTACCTCCACTCAGGGAAGCACGGAACGGTTGTTGAGAACCTCCACTCCTCAAATGAAACCTTGCGCAGTATGTGAAACAGATAAAAGCGGGGTTGCTCCAGCTGAGGAGAGGTAGCAATTCCTCCTTGAAAATGTCTTGACTGGTGGTCTTTGAAAACCAATCACCTGGGGAGCTTTAAAAACCATGCTGTCGGACGGTCCCTCCCCCCAGAGATTCTGATGTAATTGGCCCAGGTGATACCAATATGCAGCCAGGGTTGAGAATCGCTGTTTTAAAGAGACCAGTAAGTGAACACGGTGGCAAAAAGCATGGGCCTTTAGTACATTTGCTAACAGGGGCTTCCTGTATAAGACCATTTATTTTATTTCCCACCATTCAACAAACACCTGCCAGCCAGCCTAGGAAGAACCACCCATCTCTACACTCAAATGCAGCCTGTATGTAGAAAACAATTTTATGCGAGTAAGCTAACGCCATGCCCATGGAAGCGGCAGTCAAGAAATCGAATGACGTACAGCATTGGGCAAACCTGCTCCAAAAGACCTCTTCAACGTTCTAAAAAGCAAAGATGTCGCCAATGACTAAGGTGTGCCCGACCTAAACCATGGTCTTTTCAATTGCTTCATATGCATGAGAAAGCTGGACAATGAAAAAAACACAAAATAATTGAGGCATTTGAATTGTGATGTTGGCAAAGGATACTGAATATACCACGGACTGCCAGAAGAACAAACAAATCAGTCTTAGAAGAAATACGAGAATGCTCCTTAGAAGCAAGGATGGTAAGACTTCTGCTTGCTTACTTTGGACACGTTATCAGTAAAGACCAATTGCTAGAAAAGGACATGATGTTTGGTAGAGAGTCAGCAAAAATGGGGGAAACCCTCAATGAGATGGATTGACACAGTAGCCAGAACAATGGGCTCAAATATATCAAAGATGATTGGATGGTGCAGGACCAGGCAACATTTGTTATGCATGAGGTCACCATGAGTCAGGGCCAACTCGACAGCCACTAACAACAGCAAACAAGCTAATGCCTTCATGTCTCCTTGGTTCACAGGCAAGAGGGAGACCGGGGGCCTTAGCTCACAATCCTTACTCTCTGGGTGGAGCCACCACTGCAACAACACTCAGCTTTTGGTGAGGTCAAAGAAGACAAGAACAAACCTTGCTCTTGGGGCCACTCCTCCACATCTCGCCTCTCATGAGCCTCAGCCCTGGCTCCTTCCGAAGTGTAGTGCTGATGAAGCCTTTGAAGGTTGCATTTACAAGGCTGCACCTCCCTGGAAGATCCAATTAGGAAGTCTTCCCAGTGGAAGAAGCTGACCTCCAGCAGTCAGGCTAAGCCGGCTTACTTCTTCAGGGGACAGGTACACAAAAAGGTTGTTTAATCTGACCAAATGCATTGTCCCCTGTAGTCCTCCCCTTAACTCCTTCCTCAAGCTGTAGTCACCCCACGGAGTCACCAAATCACTCTCTGCCAGAAGTCCCAGCCAGAAGGCAGAGGCAAGCCTCCGACCCACCACCCCCTCCCCATCTGCCTGCAGGGCTGAAATGCATCAGCTGACTATTACTGATACGAATTTTGATGCTTTTGAGTCCACAGCCAGCCCACAAACTCAAGGGGAAATTCTCCTCCGAGGAAAGGGAACAATGCTTCTTTGAAAATCTTTTGGCTGATAGTCTTCTTCGAAAGCAGTGATTCCCAGTCCCAGCTGTGCACGGAAACCACCTGGGGAGCTTTAAAAGCTAGAACTGTCGAGGCCCCTCCCCCAGAGATTCTGATGTAATTGGCCTAGGGTGTGGCCCAGGTGATTTCAATGTGTGGTCAAGGTTGAGAACCAGTGTCCTAAGAAGGCTCATGAGTGAACGCGGTGGCAACAAGCATGGGCCTTCCCCTGATCTATATATTTGCTACCAGCGGCTTCCTGTATTAGACTACTTTTCTAGTTTCCCCATTCAACAAACTCCTGCCAGACAGCTGCCCAAAGTCAAAATTGCTTTGAACTCTTCCAAACCCAAAGACAGTTGTACCCTTGACTACAGGACAAAATTAGGCTTTGCTTTCAGAAAGCCCATTACTGTAATCAATTCTGACTCATAGCAACCCTATAAGACAGAGTAGAACTGCCCCATAGGGTTTCCAAGGCTGAAATCTTTATGGAAGCAGACTACCACATCTTTCTCCCATAGAGCGGCTGGTGGGTTCAAACGGCTGACCTTCGGTTAGCAGCCAAGTGCTTAACCGCTGCACCACCAGGGCTGCTCCTTGCTTTCAGAAGGGGAGGAAAATTCCTCGATGCCTCTAGCTGCTTGGGTCAACACCTCATTCTGAGTTTTTGTAATCCCTGTAAGTAGATACCTCTTGGAGTGTCTGCCTAGCCTCTAACTCCCTCTCTGAGAACTCTTTCACTCCAAAAAGGAGTTTTTATCATGAATGGATGTTGGATTTTGCCAAATGCTTTTTCTCCATCTATTGAGATGACCATGTGATTTTGTCCTTTATTCTATTAATACGGTGTATTCCACCAATTGCTTTTCATATGTTAAACCAACTTTGCATTCCTGGTCATGGTATATAATCCTTGTCATACGTTGCTGAATTCAGTTTGCTAATATTTTGTTGAGGATTTTTGCATCTATATTCATGAGGGATACTGGTCTGTAGTTTTCTCTTCTTGTGATGTCTTTGTCTGGCTTGGTGTCTGTCACCCCCAAAAGAAACAGCTTTGGAAAGCACACATTTATATAGCAGAACCCCACTTCCTGGCCCCAGGGAGTTTGGAATTGGGGCACAGAGAAGCTAGCTAGACTGCTGGTTGCTTGAATTGCAGTGATGTGAACTCAAGGCCCCTGCAGCTGCTTCTCCCCCATGTAAAGCTGAAACACAGCTACATCTCTTCATATCCTTGGAATAAATTCTCACGGCTTTAGGGTCTCAAATGCAAATGCTCACAGGGGCCAGGCAGGTGACATTAATAAGTGATTTCAATACTTCACCGAAGAAACTTGGAGAGCACTGTTATTGCTGTTGTTGTTATGTGTGTGGAGTTGATTCTGACTCATGGTGACCCCACATGTGCAGAGCAGAAATGCTCCATAGGGTTTTCAGTGCTGTGACCTTTCGGAAGCAGATCATCAGGCCTGTCTTCCAAGGAGCCTCTGGGGTGCTCAACTACTAAACAAAAGGCTGGTGGTTCGAACCCACCCGGAAGCTTGCTGAAGAGCATAGGCCCCCTCTAAAGCAATGCAGCGTACTCATTGTTGCCTGGCAAGAAAGTGAGCCCAGTGCTGTCAGAGATTCCAGTTTTCCAAAAGAAACTGGAAATCCAGTTCTTTATGTGGACTGTCCTAATTTTTAAATGCTGGCAACTGATTTTAATTGGACTTTTTGAATAGATAAAAAGCAAAATATCAAGAAGTATAAAAAGGTAAACAGTGAAAAGTCTACCTCCCACCAAAACAGATATCCACGGTTCCCAAGTCCTTATTTATCCTTTCAGAGAATCCTTATGCCTTTCTTTTTTGCACAAATGATAGCATACCATGTATACTTTCTGCAGTTTGGCTTTTGTATCTTGGGGATATTTCCATACCAATTCATAAAGAATTCCTAGTACATTTTTATAACTTCATGGTAATCCAAGGTATGGATATACTGTAATTGCACCAATCCCATAATGACGGACACTTAGGGTCTTTCCTGTCTTTTGCAATTTCAGTGTGTAGTGAATAATCGTGTGCACTTATCTTTTTTCTTGTATGTGTGAATACTGGGAGGCTAGATTCTTAGAGGTGCAATTACTGGATCCAAGGACCCATACATTTCTAATGCTGATAGGTACCACCAAATTGACCTCCATAAGGAATGTTCCTAATTTTAACTCCCACCATCAATGTGTAAGAGTTCCTGTGTCTTCAAAATTTCATCAACACTCTTATCAAAGTCTTTAATTTTTGCTAGCCTGTAAGGGAAGAATCTCAGAGTAATTCAGTATTCACTGATCCAGGCATACAATGTGACATACGGATCTCATTTTATTTTCCCTGGTTACCTAGTTTTCTCAACATGAAAACATTTAAAAACATCGTTCAGGCCAAACCAAACATTTCTGTCACCCAGATATAGCTTGTGGACCACCACTGTGAAACCTCTTGCTTTGACCACAAAGCTAACATCCACTGGGAGAAGAGGTGCTTGACCAAAGAGCCTTGTTCTAATTACAATTTTCAATGACTGTGCTACTGATGTCTATGTCCAACAGGAAGCACAGAAGAAAAACAAAATGAATGAAAGAGTGCCCAGTCCTAGGCTGAAACGGTACCCTTGCAACAGGTTCCGGAGCCTGCTGAAGTCATTGGTAGAGGACTTCATGTATTTGATGGTCAAGTCCAACACTTGCTTTAAAAAAGTGGAAATACACCAAGTCACTTGCCACAAAGGCAGCGCCTCCAGGATATGTGCGTCTCAAAGCACTGAGGTCCGGGCACTCTTGGGGGGCCTCTGTGTCCTGGCCTTCCCTCTCCTTACGTGTCTCCAAGGGTCCCTAAAAGCCAACTGTTTGGCATTGCAACTCCTGGGAAATTTACAACAGCCAATTCCAGGTCATTTGTCATCTTATCCCCATAGATGTTCTCATGCAACCTGTCCCCTCCTCACTCAGGGAAAAAGTCCCTAAAAGAATCCAAGGGCAACTAAATGTAGGTAGCTAGCTGGACTTTTAGCAGCTCTCATCCTTCTGTGGCTTGTGTCTTACTCTAAAATTTTACGGCATCCCCTAAGTCACTTGCTGTTGAGACTCTTCGGGGCCGCTAGTCAACTGAGAAACACAGCAGACAGTCAGACCTCCCCGTCAAGTCCAGTCACCACCACAACAGCTACCCGTTACCAAGTTCCCATTGCCAGGCCCTGAGCCAAGCACTCACATGGATCATCTCATGCCATCCTCACAACAACCCAACATGTAGGTGCCATTATTCTCTCCATCCTACCGAAGAGGTGGCTGGGCTCAGAGAGGTTAAGCAACTAGCCCAGGGTCACACAATCAAGATGTACAAGAAATGACACTGCCACCCAGGCAGGCTGACCTCAGAGCCTATTAGCTACCAGCCACAGTCCAGTGGGTCTCTAGGAAACTTAAGCTGCTGAGGCTCGATCACCTAACATTCGCCTGCACCTCTCCCTGCCCCTGGTTCAGGACCTGGAAAAGAAAGAAGCCTGGGGGTCTCCAGCTATCAACATACACTCGTCTCCAGGAAACGAGGGACCTCAACCTTCTGTCTGAAAAATTAACTGTCCACTAAATCTAGGCTCTCCTTCAGCACATCGGGCCATAGTGAGCATCTAAGCTTCCCTCATTAGACAGTCCCAATCAATACAACACAGCCATGAGGATTAACGACCTACAGCTATGCACAGCAACAGGAATGTGTCCCACAGGCACAGGTCGAGGCAGTGAAGCCAGACACAAATGACGGCATACTGCACGTGCATACTCCACACATACTTCCATCCATACTCCACCCCCCACGCCCAATAAAATACTCCATCCATACAAAGTACAGAAATCAGCAGCACCAGTCCATACCATTTGATGGCAGGATGGTGTTAGCCTGGATGGAGGTGGGCAGGGAGAATAGTGACTTGAAGGGAACCCAAGAAGCAGTTGTAGGTGCTGACAACGTTTGTCTGCTTCTCTCTTGATCTGGGTGAGGGCTACACAGATATGTTCTGTTTGTAAAAATTCAGTAAGCCACACACCTAAGTGCATCTTTATATAAATGATACTTCCATAAAAATTTACAAAAATAATCTCAACAGAAAAACACTGACTCTTTGTAAAATGCTCCATCTTTCAATCCCAAAAATTGCCCTAAGATTGGCAGGATTCAACTTTTCCCTTGCTTTTCTACTGCTATCTTGCCTGATTCATTATTTTAGATTTCCTTGAAATTCTAGTGCAGTTCTGCCGATCAGTCTTGTGCGTGTGCGTGCGTGCGTGCGTGCCTCTTCTTGGCTCTGAGAGGAAGTCCAGAAAAACCAGAAATAGCCATCACAGGTCTGAGGAATCCGGAGTGTCATCTTCGCATCAGAGGAAATGAAGGTAAACCTACCTCTGAACACCCTGGAGAATCCTAATGACCTCTGAGCTCTTGCTGGCAGTCAAACGGCCAGAGCTGCTCCCTCCCTTCAGGCCAGGGGACTTACAGGAAGCATATTCAGAGGGTCAGGAGAGGGTCCTCCCAGAAAACATTCACACAGAGTCAAAAGGAGACAATTGTCCCCCCTTGTTCTGACACCCAGACCACGCATGACCTCTTGACACCTTTATTGAGATGATCCGTGGGACCAGTGGGCACTGGGGTCTGCAAGCAAACAGACCAGCACTGATGGACCAGAAGCCCCTCAGAGACAAAGGGAAACCCGAGTCCCCTGTCCGTCAGCCACAGTGGTCAGACCTGACGGCCTCCTCCCCTTTTAAACAGCAGGCAGGCGGAAGCCCAACGCTGGTGCAAAATGCCTTCTGCAGCTCATCTCCTAGGCCTCGCCACACATGGACACCAACTGCTTCTCCAAAGCCCGTGGCCTCAAGTGAAGCAAGGGAGGGAATTAAAAAAACAAATCAGCAACAATAAAAAAAAGAAAACCCCAAGCTGCTCCATATACACAACCCCCCGCCGCCCGACATCCGTGCTGGGAAAAGCACATGGCTCACAGACGCCGGGGGCCGCTAAGGGGCAGGACGCTTCTCCTCCCTGTCATCCACAGGAAAATAGTCCTCGGTCCTGTACAGCGTGGGCAGCTCATACCGACGGGGTGCTGGTGTGGACAGTCTCTGAAATGAGAAAAAATGAGGGGCTCTATCATCGATTCGGAGTGCCTGGGTGGCACAAACGGTCAAGCACTCAGGTACAAAGGGAAAGGTTGGTAACTCTGGTCCTTTCAGAAGCACCTCAGAAGAAAGGCCTCACCGTCTACTCCCAAAAGTCACAGCCTTGAAAACTGCAGAGCACGGTTCTATTCTCACACGCGTGCTGTCACCACAAGTCAGGACCGGCTCGGTGACAACTAGTTTGATCACAATTTGAACCCACTTGTTCTCTGACCCAACAATACCCATTCCAGGAATCCACTGTGTGGGAGTCACACTGTGTGTGAACGAAGGCTTCCACCTGAGTGTGGCAGCGGGCCTCCCCTCCTGAAGGAGGCTAATGGTCATGGGGGCCCATCTCCACAAGGGGCAGAGCTGGGTGTGCTGACCCAGAAGGGGCTTCAGGAGGAAGTACACAGAAGAGGCTGAGGGCATGCAGCGCCCACACCCCGTGTGTGGAAAGGGGGCCTCACACCTCCATCTGTACATGCCACAGACGTCCCAGCAGTCAGGGCCGGCACAGTGGCTGCGAGAGACCTGGTGCCTCTCACTGGGCATCCATCCATCTGGGCCGCCTTGAGTTGTTGCCATCTGCATGTGTTACTTTTTCAGGAAAGCATTTTATGAAGTGCTTACTTGTTTCTGGTTTGGATTTTTGTTGAGGGAGTTAGAAGGGGAGTTTTCCACTAGGCAATCCTCCCCAAGCTCTGATTTGTGAAGCAGCACAGGTTACACATGCAGCTCCAGGAAAGCCCAGCGTCACAGAGAACCACCGAGAACAGCCCACTGCCGCCTGGGCCCGCCCGAGAGTCTCAGGTAACTGGTCTGGGCTGTGGCCTAGACATCTGGGTATTTCAAAGCCCTCAGGTGATTCCCATGTAAAACCAAATTTGATGCCCACTGGAGGAAGGAGGGGTCTGCAAGGCTGCTGCTCCTTGGGGGACCCAGCCGGGAGATGCGTAGGTATGTGGGGCTCAAGGGATACAGAGGGAGGAGTCCTTTCTGTATGGCTCCTGCCCCTGTTCCCATGTGCCCCGTCCCCCTTGCCTCCCCCCTCCCTCCAAAGCTCCCTGAACATCTCCATCTCCAGGCCACCTCTGCCCACTCCAGCCCCATGGCCCAATTCAGGTGGCCCCATCTTCAGCGGCAGTCAGACCTCCCCTGAAACCTTCCCCACTGACTCCAGCCCTGGGTGCCAGGGCCAGACTGTGGGGTTCCAGCACCATGCACCTACTGCACTCCCCGCACCGCATGCCACTCACCCCTCCCACTGTGCCTGTTCCCCAGTGACACCATGGCCTTCACCCCACTGTGAGGTGGGGAAACGAAGTTTCCATCCACTTAACCACTTTTGCACTGAGGTCCATGCTGTGCCGGGCCCCACTCTGCACACCAAGGACACAGCTGTGAGCAGGACACCAGTCTCAGCCATCACAGGCTTGCCATTGAGTGGGGGAGACAAATGAACACATGGAAGAAAAAGATACCACCAGGTAGCACCACCATGTGACAGGGGCTAGTAGCAGGGAGACACAGAGGTGGGGCACCAGAAGAGGCACCTGGCTATCCTGGAGAGGTCAGGGAGGCTTCCCAGAGGCACAACCATGCAGGACCTCAACCACCCCCACAGGAATTAGCCAAAGGAAGGGGGTGGAGGGTCACTGGGAGGGGTGGTGTTCCAGGCTGAGGGAACAGCATGTGCAAAGTGCTATGTGGTGGGCTTGGGGAACTGGAAGAAGTCAGTCTATAATCGGGCCAGGTTAGAGTGTAAACCAGGGCCAGATGATGAAGCTCCTGGAGGCCATGCTACTCCTAAGAGGTCCAGGGAGCCTTTGATGCCATCAAGCAGGAGAGGGTATGTGTGTGTGTGTGATTAGATGTGTGTTTTAGAAGAGCAAGACAGAGAATAGACTGTAAGGGAGAGAGGGGAGCCAGGGAGGAAGCTGTTGCAGGTGGCCAGGCATGGTAAGAGTGGCTGGGTTTAGGGTGGTAGTGGGGGCAGGGATGAGAGTGGATGGATTGTAACACCTGAGCTCCAAAGCCCTGGAACCTTCCACCACACTGAGTCATCTCTTGTTGCAGAGGGAAGCCATGGAGGATTTTAAATAGGCAGAACATGCTCAGATGTCTAGGGATCTCAAACCCCCTATGCCACCACCTCCACCCTGAAAAACCAGGATGGGCTACTCGCTGTGGCCAGGAGTCAGTCTCGCAAAGGTGCAAATGGAACATTCCATCCAGTCAACCGTCAGTCAGCCACCCTTAGCTCATCTCCCTTGGGGGAGAGCGTCCCATCCCCACCTGCTTCCTCTTCTCCCAGCACCTTCCCGGGCAGCCTCCTGGCCCTGCGTATTGGAGGACACAACTCACTCTGGTCGCACTGTGATCAGAACACAGCTGGGAAATGAAGCTATTTTTAAAAAGTCACAAGATACACCTCACAGCCAGACGGATGTGATTTGTGGATAATCCAGTTTTAGAATATCTTCACCATTTCTCTCGAGAACTGGCCATTGTAGTAGCAGTTAGAAAACGTAACATTCCAGTGGGTGATGATGGTTCAAAGGCAGTCCTCTCATTCTGACACATGACCTTGGGGACAAAGAGCATTTTGTGGCCCTGAAAAGACATGTCCCTTTTTCTCCCAACCCTTAGACCCAGGCATGGGAGGGGGGGTGGCAATGAGGGGAGCCAAGGGCCAGTGGCCAGAGCCATGTCCCTGCCCAGCTGGGGCAGCCTCTGCTGGTTCTGCTGTGCCTCATCCCAACCCATCCATGTTCTTTCTTAAAATGGTTCTACCAATGGTACAAGGCTTTTGCCTCCTCCCTCCAGGATACAGACTTCAAAATAGGAGGAAAATAAATATAATTATGAAGGCAGCAAGGAGTAGTAATAAGAGACCCCTAGCAGCTTCAGCCACCACTGTCAGTTTGTCAAACTGTGGTGGCTTGTATGTTGCTGTGATGCTGGAAGCAACGCCAAATTCAGCAGGGTCACCCACGGTGGACAGGTTTCAATAGAGCTTCCAGACGAAGACAGACTAGGAAGAAAGGCCTAGTGATCTACTTCCAAAAATTAGCTAATGAAAACCTTATGGATCACAACAGAACACTGTCCAACTCACTTGCTTTGGGTATATCATCAGGAAGGATCAATTGCTGGAGAAGGACACCATGTTTGGTGAAGCAGAGGGCCAGTGAGGGCAAGGGGGCCCTTGGTGAGATGAACTGACATAACAACAGACTCCAGCATGCCAGCAATTGTGAGGATGATAATGAGGCAACATTTCCTTCAGTTGTACACCGTGAAGTCAAACTCGACGGCCTCTACCTATCTACATAGCTATTAATTTTAGATGTAATCATATCTTTTAAGCAAAGCTGACCTGGTTGCTGTCACCTACAACCAAGAGTTCTGCCTAAGACAAATAAGAAGCCTCAGTGGTACCAGTGGGTGCTTGAATCAGCGGGCGTGGGACTGGGCACATGGCTGAAAATACCCAGCCACCCCACATGCTATGGGGGGGCAGATGCCCTCACCCAGAAGGCCAAGCCACATCCTGGCTCACTGTGATGCCAGAGACCCAGCCCTTCCACAACTACTTTCTCTTCAATTCTCACGCCAGCCTACAAGGCGAGGAGTTGTCCTGTGTATGAGAGATAGCAGGAGCCAGGGAACCGTGGAGCTGGTTCCACTCAGGCCTGTCTGGCTCCAAGCCCAGCCCCTGCCCATCGTCCCACAGGGCTCCTGCCGTGAACCCGAGCCAAGTCCTTCCCTCCCACGACAGAGCCCAGGCTCACCTGCAGTCTTCACCCTTGGGAATCTAGAGGGGACTCCAGAAATGGCCACCTCCTGCCACCACAGCTGGTAATAAAAAGACCCCCTCACACACCGAGACCCCTCGGGGGGTCAGCCAAGTAAGCGAGGAGTACCTGACTGAGCTGACAAGAGCCTGAGATTCCTAGAGGTGACGGGTAGCCCCCACGGCAAGAAGCCTCCCTTTGCAGCCTGCAGGGGCTCTACCACCACAGGAAAGCGCTAGGCACCAGAAACCTGACACCCTGGTCCAGGGCTCAGCTCAGCCCACATGCTCCCACTCTCTCACAGACACACGTGCACAGGCACACATGCGTGCACGCACACCCCATGTCCTCACCCCTAGCCTGCCTGACCCTCTTCTGGAAGAGGGGCCTGCTGGGGCCTCTGGGCCTGGGACGCTTTCCCAGGTCTACCCACACCCCCACGTCTCCCCACTTCCACCCGGGACATTTGAGTTCCTAAGCCCACAGATCAGACACGTGTGTGCTTGGCCTACTTCATGGGTTTTTAAAAAATGGAGTTAACTGCAAGTATCTAAAAATCCAGAGATTCCCATAAGAAAACGAGGCTTCCAGCTCTCTTGGTAAACCACATGCTCCGGCAGCCCTGGGCCCACAGTCCCACGTGGCCCCAGCTGGCTGAGCTGAGAAGCAGCTGTCCCTTAGACAGCAGGGGGTGGGTGCTCTCCTGTTCGCCCCAGGCCCACCCAGCCACTTCACATTTCTGAAACCTGCTCCCGGCAGATGCCTTAGAGTGGGTCCCCCATCCTCACAATCCACATCCCCAAGCTGCTCCTCTTCTGACAAAGATCCCAAATGCCTGTCACAGCACGTTACAAGAGGAAGCCTCAGCTCTGGCCTAGATTCAGAGCCTCTTCTGAAGCCCACCCCACCCATCCCCCGTCAGACCACCCCGTCTGCTCTGAGCCCAACCTGCCCACCTCAGGGCCTTTGCTTGTGCTGTGCCACCGCCCACCCCTTCAACTCCTGCTTCCAGAAATCCTTCACAGCCCCATGTAAGCCCCACCCATCCCTGCATCTCCCTCTGGGGAAGCTCTCACTGCACATCCCCAATCCTAGATGGCTGGCTGTTCAGGTCAGGGTCAGTAAACTCTTTCTGTAAAGGCTAGACAGTAAATTTACTAT